TTCTCTACTAATTGGAATTTCCTCTTACAGCTTGAGCCTAAGTGTGTCGCAGGATACCCTCTAGGTGATAGTTCTTGATTACTTTTTGAAAAATAGGAGCACTATTTATCAATCTGGAATAAAAGACGTGAGGAAATTCTGTCCTTTTTAAAGACAAACATTTTTGAGGCGAAATACCCAAAAAGAAGTTAGTAAAAAATATAAAGATCGTTTCAGAAACCGGGCATTAGCGATATTCGCTTCGGCAGATATTCCATTTTTGAGCCTTTATTGCGTCAATATCTTCTTTTTTGGTAACTGCTGGCCAATTTTCATTCATCTCATGGCCTGTGGGTGGTGAAGCACAAGGTATATCATCGTCGAAAAGTGTTAGAATGAATGATTTCCATCGCACAAGTTTGTCTTCTCTCTATGACTATTTCGTTATTATTGTGTCTGCTTGCCATTTCTCTTACTTCCTACTGGACATTCAAAGTGCCATATCTTTCTTGAAATTGTCCGGATTTCTTTGGATTCTCTAGGCTTTTATTTTTCTGATGATTTTATAGAGTTGTTTGTATACTGTTGGGTTTTTCTTCTCGCATTTTCGTCTTTTCTCCAGGAAGTCAATGATTTCTTGTCTTATACAGTTTTTCAGTTGTGCGATGTCTATTTGCCTTGTTTGACTATGTCTTTCCACCTCCTGAAATATTTTGCATCTTCTTTGGAAAAGACTCGTAAAGACCATTGATCTTTAAAATCCTGATGTCTCCCAGGCATGCTCCAGTTAGGCATCAGACAATCGGCCGAAGTCGCCTCTAACATGACCAGCGTGGAGAGAATCCTGCAATACACCAAATTGGAGGAAGAAGGCCCATGGGAGCCGCCCCCAGCAGACAGGCCGCCCACTGATTGGCCGCGGGAAGGTCGCGTCACCTTCAAACACGCCTACTTGCGCTACACTCCCGATGGGCCTCCCGCCATCCGGGACCTGGATGTGGAAATTCAACCAGCGGAGCAGATTGGTGTAGTCGGACGCACCGGGGCAGGTAAGAATGTGAATCTTTGTCATTCACCCAACGTAAATCTTTGCTTCTTCAAGGAAAGTCCTCATTGGTGGCCACCTTGTTCCGGCTGGCCTCCATCGAGGGAGAGGTGGAAATTGACGGTCTCAACACCGGAAAAGTGGGCCTGAAGGCGCTGCGCTCTGCAATCTCCATTATCCCCCAGGTGCCCACTCTGTTCTCCGCCAGCCTCAGGTAATAGAAAACTCACATTTAGGAATGTTTTCCGGGCTTTAAAGCCGTGGTCTATGGGAATTTCTTCCTGACGTTTCGTCCACAACTGCGGTGGACATTATCAAAGGCGATGAGGCAGTGGGCGAAGTGATCTCCCGTGCTTTCCGACTAAGACTGCTTCAACTGCTGGATTCCCCGTCGTATTTATGCAGCCCAGCCGTGTGTGCTCATGCGTGGAGGATCGGTGGGGGTTCCAACGCTTCGGCGCACACGCTGTTTGGCGCAAAACGCGCTTCCAATCTGGATTGAGTGCCGTAATTCCTTCTTCTCTGTTAAAGTTGTTTTGGTGTTTAAATATTTCGATGGCCTCTCTGATGAGTCTCAGGTAGTATCTTTCGGATTGGTGCAGAATGTCCACTTCGTCGAAGCGTATTTGGTCTGCTACTGCTGATTTTTCTGTTTGTCTCAATCTGCAACTTCGTTTATGCTTCGTTTTGTGGTGCCGATGTATGCTCTTCCACAGCTGCACGGAACTCTGTAG